AACTCGACAATTTTGGTTAAACTGAAGTATGATAGTGATATCTGAACACCAATCTATGGAATAACGAGAAATAATAAAAAAATGCAATACCTCTTTAATTTTCTACTGAATATGAGCTTAAACGCGAACAGCTCCGTGAATAGAGACGACATTCTTGCGAAGAATCACTAAAATATGTTCCCTTTTTGAACGCATAAACATATGGAAGGATAAAATATATCGGCTTTAAAAGGAATCATCCGGTGGATAGCGCTATTAACCCTTCGAACCACTGCCCTCAGAATAACAAAATCTAGTATTTCCTTTTGATCCACACATTTTCTCTTTGTTATCCTCAAGCTACCAATATCTTATAAGAATCATTATTACCTCGACAATTTTCCCTTGTCTTTTTAGTTTCATGGAACCACCACTGCCAACTGTATCGAGAGAAAACTTACTGCACCACTCAGAACCAGATAAGCGTATCTTTGCCTAGATAGGAGATACGAGCAAAGAAAAAGGCATCCTGTTAACTATATTCACTGGTAACAAAGTCGGTGTGTTGGTTTTCAATGAATGGTACTTACTGCTGCCTTCTTGCTGAAAACGTTGCCTTTTCTTTTGTAAGAAAACATGACAGCATCACGGTGGGAATCTGGATGTCCAATCGAAACATCATCGTCTGTTGCCTGAAAAAACACAAACGCGAGATTCAGTTTACCAAAGTGCAAATAAAGACTGTTTTTGCTGTTGTTGCTGTTGTTGTGGTTCAGTTGTTAAAAATGTTGCTGTTGTTGCTGTTGCTACTGTTGACACTGTTGCTGTTGTTGCTGCTGCTGCTGTTGTTGTCGTTGCTGTTGTTGCTGTTGCTACTGTTGTTGTTGCTGTTGCTACTGTTGACACTGTTGCTGTTGCTGCTGCTGCTGTTGTTGTCGTTGCTGTTGCTACTGTTGTTGTTGCTGCTGCTGTTGTTGTTGTTGTTGCTGCTGTTGTTGTTGTTGCTGCTGTTGTTGTCGTTGCTGTTGTTGTTGTTGCTGTTGTTGTTGTCGTTACTGTTATTGCTGTTGCTACTGTTGTTGTTGCTGCTGCTGTTGTTGTTGTTGTTGTTGTTGTTGCTGCTGTTGTTGTTGTTGTTGTTGCTGCTATTGTTGTTGTTGTTGTTGTTGTTGCTGCTGTTGTTGTTGTTGTTGCTACTGTTAATGCTGTTGCCTCTGTTGTTGTTATTGATATTGTTAATGTGTTCGTTGTTCTTGCYACTGTTGCTGTTGCTGCTTTTCTTCTTGTTGTTGTTGAGGCTGTTGTACATATTGTGAGAATAGCGTCTAAATATATCAGAAGTTTTTTGTACTTACTAAATATTCTAGGAACATTCCCGTCTTATTGACCATCCAATATGGACTGTATATCGTTATGTTTAGCGCACCATCCATTTGAGTAAACACTCCTAATTCCTACAAACGAAAAAAAAAACAAACACAAAAACCTTACAATTGTACCACTTTCACAGTATGCACTCCCAATAAAACTCTCCCAATCCCTAAATCTGTACTACCTATACATTATATATAATGTATAATTTTCAGTTGTCAGACTATTATGCATGAATAAACAAGATGCCCGCCCCAATACGTTGTCTGGTCTTATTGTTTGAATGCAGTTTAGGTAATAAATTTTTACTCGTTCGTAATAAATTTTTTACTAGTTCATAAGTGAATAGAGTATAAGAATGATTATATTCTTAAAGTGATTTGCTTACCACGGGTCTCATATCTGAGTCTTTTAGAACTGGTATCAGTGTGAAGGCTGATAGTTCATTCATTCCTTTCTTCAAAAGAATTTCTCCTCTCCAGCTCTCTCCCAAGTAGTCATCAATCTACAATATAACAGAACCAAAACGTAACATGAATCACTAATAAAACAACTGAACATAACGGCATATGAACACTCGAATAATAAACAGACCCAAGTAAAAGCCCAAACTAACTTTGTAAATGTTTTTCTCTGAATAAACATTCATTTACTAATCGGCCTCAATCCAATTCAAACAACCCGGGAGAAGGTTCATTGTTCGTTGTATTTTCATTTCACAGTTGAATTCTTAGAAACAAAAGTTCTTTTTCCCACAGGATTTGAATTGGGCGGTGACGTACATGGCAACGCCGTTAGCCGATTAGGTCTATTCATACTGATAACTTTGTTCAGCAATACTGTCATAACATTACCTGTATGTTCAGTGGGATGTTCTTGGTCAGATTAACTGAATAGAGAGCGCAGTTTTCACCTCCTTTGAGATCCACAAACGGTATCCCCTGAATAAATAGAAGTTATAAATTTATATTCACATTTGTTGGGAATACACATTTTTTCCCAAATTCAAATTCTTGGTTTGCAGGTTACGTCACAGAGGCCATCTTGGAGGAACTTTAACAAAATATTTCTCATTAGTATCTATTGTTCATTCCTCCAACAYGGCCGCCGGTCTTTTATCTTTTGAATCTCATGGGAATGGGTGAAAACGATCAATACTTTCTCTTGCTAATACTTTCTTTCCAATTATTGTCTTGTTTTCTCTACTTCTCATTTTTCTTTTCTACTGTTCTGCTCCTTTTTATTTCATTTCTCTCCTCTTTTCTTTTCTCTATTTTTATGAAGAGACTAACCTCTGTAGAATAGTGTATGTTATATGGTAGGTAGTTGTGTAGTACTGCCGATGGATATACATGGTAGATGTAGACTGGTGATGAGTCTTGTACGCCTTGTGATACCGTGTATTCTGCTTTTTGACAAACGACCTGGAAAACGAGCAGTACCTCAGTTTTCAATCAAAACTCCTTTGAAAAACGCTTAGTTTGAATATTAAAACAAAAAACGAAAAAGCTTTTTTGGTTGCCTGTTAATTTGAATATGTCCAATACTCTTGTTTATAGTTCGGTTTTTCTCAGGATAGGCGTCAATTGTGTGTAAAATATTCAAAAATCAACAATACGTAGCTCCATTCTCATTGGTCATTTTTTTGTTTAAAAATTCCTTGCTTTTCCAAGCTGTTGTTTAACAAACAACTGCATTACAGTGTAGAGTCTTAGCATGAGTAAAATATAACTGCGAAAAGGCCAAATCTTTGTTACTATAGTAAACAAATAAAGGTTTAATGAAACAGGAAGGCATGGAGTGTCAACCTGTATGTAGAAAGGTGCTTCGCCTGGTAACTGTGAATTGCACATGAAACGAGCACCGTTGGCACTCTTCAGTTGTGTCCACATCATAGCGGCACTTGTTTCATTATAGCTGCAAGAGAAAATTAAACATTTCCAATTTTAAGAGAGACTTTTGATGTTATTCTTAGCAATTCTGGGATTCCTGTGTATTGTCACAAACACTTTCTTCCAGTCTCACCCTACGTTTCATTAATATTACATAATTGTCATATAATTGTATGAGGAAGTAGCTGATCCCATTAAAGAGTGCTCAATACACATAAAGTGTAGAGCTAGTTATATATATAATATCAAAGAGGCAAGATTTTGCTGTTACTCCGAGTTTCGTGCTACGCACTCATCAGACAGTATTTCAGTAATACTGTCTGATGAGTGCGTAGCACGAAACTCGGAGTAACAGCAAAATCTTGCCTCTTTGATATTATATATATAATTGTCATATAAAAATATTTCACCAATTAAAGAAGCTTGTTGAATGCTGTTGTGGCAAAAGGAATAAATGAATAAAATAGATAACGAAAAGAGCAAAGTTTCAACTGCAGAAAAAAAAAGGCAGAGAAAAAATAGTAGATTGATAAGAGAAAGTATGTTTTTTTTTTCAAGTTATACTTACCCAAATCCAGAAGGCTTAAGGTGAAGTCCCGCACGGTAAGCCAGGACGAGTGGTACATTGTAGATGGTTTGTGCTGGAATACTTGTAATCTTGGATGATTGTGACTCTCGTTTACATGATAGATCGAGTGGGATTGGGAAATGATTGAATATCTGAAATGGGAATAAAAAAAGATTAACTTTGAATCAAAACATTTAGAGAAATAATGAAACGAATTTATGATCAATAGAGAAAACATGGTCTTGTTCAGATAAGAAAGACCAACAATAAAAATAAAATTTCCAATGGTTGGTTTGAGCTTTATTAATTTCTTCCTTTGAAATTTTTGTTGGAAACAAGTGAACAATTTTTACAAACAAGGAAACAACCAGCACAAATGACAAACACCAACCATTTAGTTGATGAACAGAAATCCTACAAAAAAACCTGTACCTGTAGGGGTGATCTAATGGTAACTGCTTTCTGGCCTTCACCACTCTCTACCTGGACAACCATAGCCATCATGGTACCTTTCAACAACTGAAATAACAAATACATTAAATTTCCATCAGAAATATATACCAATATACTAAAGACAATATCAATGATAATTATCATTCCTAAAAGATAATAATTTAATGTTTATTCTAAYCTGTCGTGGTACAAGGGTATAGAAGGCAACTCTAGCTTGCTTGATGGGAATGTCTTTTGCTGTGTGGTAACCTTCAACCTGTTGAAATAATATTTCCTCTGGTATTGAGCACGCAAAATACTAACTCATTTTATTGTTAGAGTTGTGTTCATTTGACTATGCAATAACCATTACTATTTTAAATAGTTAGTATTTGTTGGTTCAAAACAAAACAAAACAATAGATTCAGAAAGATATTCCATGACCAAGCATTGGCTTTGGCTTGCTATTTGGAGTTGAGAAAGAAATATGGTGCTACCTTACTACTGACCAGCTGTTCATTAAGTTGATTTTAGTTTGGAATTATTGACCTGAACTCAATTACTGACCAATGACAATTGCATTTCATTCAGTGGGTATTACATATATTATTTTCATACCTCAATTGAGACACTAAGTCCTGTTTCTTCAGTGTTTCGTACTCTTCTGCTGGCTCGTCTGTCAGCATCTTTGGTAAGGTACAGTGGGAGATTCCTTCCTGAAGCAATAGCGAACATGGCAGCACCCTGTTCATCAGTAGAAGACCCCTATACAAAGACAACAAGGGTTACAATTGGGAACATTTCGGGTGCAATATAATGTCTGATATTTTGGTTGACTAATAACACACAAGAAGAGATGAAGACAAGGCTCTGGGAAGTAACAGATGATCCTTTGTTTCCCCAGAGCCTCATTTTCAGTTCTTTTAAGCATGGCAATTCAATATTGAAAGAGAGTCATTATTTTAATAACATTAAATGATTTCATACTTTCAGACTTTTGCCAAGATATACTTTGATTCCAAGGCCAATCTACAGAAAAAGAGAATTGTGAAGGTATAATGACAACTATTATGGACTCCTTTTTTGTCACATTAAACATATAAAAGACTTGTAAGCATTATTTGAAAAAATAAGATGAAAGAGGGAGAAGAGGGAAAAAGGAAAAGTGGAAGGGAGAGGGATAAAGGTTAAAACAATTGTAGAAATAAAAGGAAGGAAAGAGGGAAAAGAAAATAGGACGGAAGAAAGCTGGAAAGGAGAGAAATGAAGAATAAAGTACATAAAGTACATGAAGAATACAAAGAAGAGATTAAATTCATGTACATGTACCTCATTACGGATGACGTACGGAGATAAGTCCTCCATTGCTATTTTATCACCACCCTCTAAGGACACAGCCTCACCAAATGCCTGGAAGTATAATGCACTTTTAATCAAAAATAACACCAGAAAAATTGTTTACAATTAAAGCAAGATAAGAAAGACATATTTATTTAGAAGACACATTTGTACTTTGGTCATTGAATATGACATCATTCAGATAAGAAAGCTGCCATATAATCTCTACTATTAACTGTTTACTCACAGAAGCCAGTTTGTTGAACACATCCAGGCTTGTCTTGGTAATAGTGACTTGCAGAGTATCCTTAGAGGTAATTGCTAATGACATAGCTGGGTCTACATTAACATCTAGACCTCCACCACTGGACTCTTCACTATCCCCATCAACGTCACTAGCCATTGATAACTAAAGCACAAAAACACGGCAAATTACTGCAGTTGTCATGATTGCTGCAGGAGTGATCCTGACAAAAGTAATGACATCTGTCAATCAATGCAATACACTTGCAAAAAGGCTTACTTTCCTTTGAGTTCCAAAAAATAATTTTGAAAACTAAGTGAGATTGGTGCTACAGGAGCTTTGTGAGAGTCTATTAAAACCAAAGAGTTCTGACATTACTTCTGTTTGGTTTAAAAACAATGCCAACATTTTTGATTGACAGAATGTGTATAATTACTACACTATAGTGGCACTGAATGAAGTGACTTTGCTGGTCATTATAAATCAATATTCATATTTAATTGATCAATATTACAGAGTGATGTACCTCCATACTCAATTCCCACTGTCGATACTTCTGAGTTGACTCCTCCACTGGTTCAATTAGTGGTTCCCACTCTGAGATATTTTCATTGAAGTAGTTTGCAATGAGACTCAATCCAGCTGTGACTTCAAGCTGAAGAACACAAAATACTATTAAATAAGAAACAGATAAAACTATTGTACAACTTTTTTCTGATATGGCTGATGTCATGCTGAATTATTGCATGGCCAAGGAACAAATACAGAATATTACTAATAATAAATTACTAATAATAATATTACTATTATTAATATGTACTATTATTATAGGACAGCTGAACCATCATTTTATTAACAAATACACCAATTTGTCCAACTAGCAAATGACTTGGCATCCTCCTACTCTATCTATCAAGATACATTGAAATTCTAAAATACAAATATGTATAATTATTGTTTTTTGAATGCTGACCTTAGATGACCAGTCTTTGACCTCTGCTTGTACATGTCCATCCATGGATAGAAGTGGAATTACTTGACCACCAAACATGCCTTCCATCTTAACATTGAATCCTTCCATATTGAATAGCAACTAACAGGCAGAAAAGAAAAATTAGTGCTATTGAGGATGAGTGCATAAAGAAAGATAATAATTGAACAAAGGGAACAAACAACAAACGAAATAAAACAAGGAAAAAACAAAAACAAAGAAAGCTACTCACTTCTGGTATCAAGCAAGCAATTAAAATCATAGCAAGCAAGCAGGCAATCAAAGTCGTAGCAAGCAATAAGAGCGGTAGCAAGCATAAAACAAAGCATTAGCAAGCATGCAGTACTCAAAGTGGTAGCAATCAAGCAATCAAAATGAGATTACACTCACCATTTCACCTCTTTCTACCTCTGCTCCATTGCTGTCTGATTTGACTAAGGACTTTTTCTCTGCAAATCAAACACAGTTGGTAAAACTAATACAGCTGTGTGGCAATTTTTCAAATATTGAATAAAAGGAATCATGACAACTAAAGATAACTTAAACAGTATAAAATTTCATGAAATAATGTTGAGAAAAACTGTGATGTTTCAACACACCCTAGCTAGGAATTTCAATGAACTCCTGTAATTATATGAAAAGTTATGTGCACTCCGTAATAGTATTAACATTACTGAACATTACCAATATTATTATCATTATGATCAAGAATTATAATAATATTAAATACATCATTATAATCATATGTGCCTTAATTTGTATTACAGATATTATTAAGTAACTTTTCATGATTGTAGTTTCATAGTTCCCTTACCCTTTTTAAAAACAGATTTAAACTGAGTACTTGCATCGTCTACAAGTTCCCAATCCCCATGTTTAGGGGTTACAGTACTGGCTTTCGGCAAAAGAACCCAGCCCTCTGGACTGGTCTCTGAAACCACATTACATTACTTATAATTACTATTAGGGATTAAAATATCAGGAATAATTATTGTGCAAATTAAATTAGCTATAATAATGTTCAATTATGGTGCTTATTATTTAAATTAATAATGATAAATGTATAATAGTAATTAATAATATGTCATGTATTCAGTACAACGTACAATCTTTTAAAAAACTTCAAAAAATGATGATGGTAGTCATCCTATGGAAGGGGTCCAGAAAAACCTTTGTTTGGGCATGTTGTTTGTAACTACTTAATTTTTGCTCTTTAGAAACTTTTCAGTTAAAAGTACTTGACATGCCATCCCCTTTGAGGAATCTCTTTTTAACTCCTCAAGAATTGAAGGAAGGTGAAATCGAAAACCTTTCACTTAATATTTCCGAAGAGATAAGAACGAATCTGCTTACAGGGAACTCATAATTGAAGAGTTGTTGACAACCTTAATACGGCCTGTAATCTATCCAAATGTAAGTCTTACCAGGTTCATCCTTGGTAATGCCATCCTTAGGAAGAAACTGCAGGTCAAAGAGTCTCACCCATTCATCATCACCACCATCAAATTTAACATGATAGAACCTGAACTTTTCTCTAGACTTATCAACCTTGTCTATAACACCAGAGAAACGTTGTCTGCTGTTCTTGTAGGTTGATATAACTCTAGCTCCTTGGTGAACATCACGGACATTCTGCACGGTGTCTGGGAGGACATTGATTAGCGCATCTTTGAGGTTATACAAGCGTTTTTGACCATCAAAGAAGTCGACGTGGAGTTTGGTGCCTTTGTAGGATAAGTACCCAGGATAGTAGCTGTTGCCTGACCACCATGCCCACACTGAACTGCCTACTTCAATGGTGCCTTCAAGAACTGAAAAAATGCAGCTGTGTGAGAACAGTCTCAAAATATCATCATTAGTGTCATTCATTACCATTTTGTTTATTCATTTATTCATTCTGTTCATTGCTTATTCCTTCATTAATCTACAGTCTGCCTGATTTAATCATAAACATACCATCTCGTCGCTTCACTGTCACTATCCTCAGATCTTGAACACCAAGCCACAATTGGACATCGTTATCAAAGACCACATTGAACTTCATAATGCCATCCTCTTTCTTAATCTGATAGACTTTGCCCATGTGCCAGAACTCAGGGTCTTTGCCTTTCCCAAGTACAGTCATTCCAATTTGAATTGCTCCTGGCTGTGGTACCTTGTCAAGGACTAGTGCAGTGAGGTTGTTGGCATTCACTTTAACTGTAGGACCTTGATAGGCCTTGACTATGAGAAGTCTTTGACGTTTAGAGGAGACAAACCCTTTGACGTATTTTCCATCTCTTTGTCGAACAAACACAATACTTGACGGTACAATGTCATGCTCTGAAACTAAAGTGAGACTACTATTGAGCATGCAATTATAATACCTGTGGATAATTGTCTGTTGGTGCGAAAGGAGTTTTATATCATTGCATACTCAATATTCAACATTTCTTTGATGTAAAGGCATGGCTATCATTCAAGACAGCAAAGGGAACCATAAAGAAGACTATTAGGTCATTCAGTCCTGTACTAGTTGTCCAAGCTCACATAAAACCACCAAGAATTACACATACCTCCAGGTTTAATAACTGTCAGTTTCCTCAACTTGCTACTATTATATGAGCCTTCTTTGCCATTCTTATAATCAACATGATACACCAACTTGCCACCTTTCTCCTCTATTTTTCTTATCACTGCACAAGAGAAGTACTGGGTTGCTTTCAAGTCAGGTGCTATGACCTTTGTACCACATTTCAAGTCTTTCTCATTGGGGATAGTGTCTAGTACAATGGCAGTAAGGTCATTAACGTCATGCATCGTTTCATCACCATTATCAAACTTCAGCTTGACGCGGGTGTCTATCTTGGCAATGTAACCAGGGTAATACTTGTTGGTCTTCGGCCATCGGCCGTATATACGAACACCAGGGCTGACAACATGTTGTTGAACTAGAGAGATGTCAAAGTGTGTTGTTAGATGGTTTGTTTAGTAACCTAATCACGGTGAAGTAGTGACACTTAATAGGAACTATATTGATAGATATTTACCTGGAGTGAGGTACCATTTTTCCTTCTTTTCAATGGCATTCTCAGTCCACATTGTTGTGTCTGCTATATGCTGTGACTTGTCATTGCTTGTATCCTGATGAACATATACCAACATGAATGAAACTTACAACAGCTAAACCAGCAACAACAACAACAACAGAAACAGCACCTGATCATGAAATAACAGCATTAACAACAGAAGGAGCAGAAGCAACAACAGCAGAAACAGTAGCAGCAACAACAACAGCAACAACAACAACAACAGAAACAGCACCTGAAATAACAGCATTAACAACAGAAGGAGCAAAAGCAGCAACAGCAGAAACAGTAGCAGCAACAACAACAGCAACAACAACAGCAGCAACAACAACAGCAGCAACAACAGCTACAAAAGTAGCAGCAAGAATAGCAATAAGAACAGCAATAGCAACAACAACAGCAGCAACAACAGAAGCAGCACCGACACCAGCAGCAGCAATGCCAGCAGCAACAACAACAGAAGCATAATTAAATAATGATGATATCTCTTACCTTTGCAGGTGCTAATGACATCAGACATGCTGTAATTGTTCTTATAGATGGAGGAGAGACATGAATGTGAGCAACACTTGTTCTGATGTCTATGTGCATGCTCTGCCCCTCTGGAGCTGAACTGTGTAATGCTAGYTGGGACAAATAAAATACCTACACAACAAGAAAAATAATCATTCAACTTTTTTAGGCACTTCCAAGAGCGGAACCAGGGAGGGGCAAAGGGGGGTTGCAGCCCTCCTTTGTGCATAAAAGGTTAACTGTTTTCTATTATTTTCAATGTTGTTTATAACAAATAAAGCCCATTTAGTCCCCCTTAAAACCATCATCAGTCCCAAGCCCTACCCCTAATGGGAAAATTCGGGGAGAGGTGGGAATGGATACGTTTGCACTATATACTAACTCTTACTATGAAGGACAATCCACCATATTTACAGTTTTTACAGTCTATAAATGATCATTTTATCATGTCATCTTACTTGTGTTTTAGTAGCATCTCTGTGTTCCATATCAAAAGCTGCTGAAGTGATACTTAAATTGGACAGATGTGCAAACATCTTCTGCTGTCCTCCAGCAAACATCATGTTAAAATCTATCGTATTCTACAAACAAAACAGGATAGAATCATGCAATTAGCACTTCTGATAAAATAACACTGACAAAGGATTTTTAAATCCCTTAAAAGGGTTTTCTTAATGTAGATTATTTAAAAAAAGTATAATGGCTACAGGTCAATATCTTTCTCTAAGTAGAGTATGAAAAGTGGAAAATCAGAAAATCAAATTTGTGATGGACTTGCTCTTGAATTTGCAGTTTTTTTATTAACCAAATCATTTCCACCAAAAGAGACGGCAGTCAGTCATCGAAATGTTTGGATAATTTACATTTTTCCACAATCTGTGACAACTTTTATATAATATACTTATCAATATAAATTATGCCCTTGTTTTAATAATCTTTTATAAGCTCAAATTCATCACCAATTAAACACAGTTTCAATCAAGATAGCTGGAATGAGTACCAAACTCACCTTCATGAACAATGCATGAGTGTTTTTGTCTTTAGCATCAGCCAAAAGAACAATCTCAGGCTGCCTTAATGCGAACTGAAGTCTCATTGAAGGTGGTTCTTTTTCAACAGGTTTGATGAGAGTTGCTGGTACCAAGGCAACAGCTTGTGTTACATCAGGTAAATGAATATTGGATTCAACAGCAGGACGAGGTGGAGCTGATTCTAGTGCTGATGTAAAAACGGAGGCAAGAACGATGATGAACTCGAGGTTAGCTACGATATGGATGTTGTTGATGTCAATGGATACTGGAAGAGAAAAATGTTGTGAAATTTAATAAATGAAAGAATCAATCAAATAATTAATCAATCAACCATTATCAACCAATCAATCAATCAATCAATCAGTCAATCAATCAGTCAATCATTGAATGAATCAATGAATCAATAATTCAATCAATCAATTAAATCAATTAATTAATCAATTAAACAAACAATCAATCAATCATTCAATCAATCATTCAATAAATCAATCAATGATTTCTATAACTATATTACAAAACTCACTATTCTTGTCTTGGTTGGGAGACTGTTCATACTTGACATCTATCATGTTTGGCAGATGTCGAGAATCACCAAGAAACCTGTCCATCATTCTGTAAACAGATGCAAAATGTAACACTCAGTTAGGAGTTCTTTTAAATGATAATTATACTTAACAAACACAGACGGACAGACAGATATACATGTAGCAAGGCAGACAGACAGGCTACAAACAGAAGGAAAGACAGAATACAAATGCGCACAGACGGATACTTTAGACAAGATTAGCTCACCTCATCACTCCTTGTTCACTCTCTGGTCTCTTGTCATCAAGAACACAGGTTTCCAATGATACTACAGCATCAAGTGCCATGTTAGACGTCATTCTACCACTTGTCTTTACAGATACTATAGAGAACTTGCCAAGACAGCAAGAAGGGTCTCTTTTTGGACCAGGTTCCTTTGGCTCATTCCAGTACACAGAAGCTGAAACCTTCTCAATTTCAAAATCAAACTTGACAGTGTCCCACACTGTACTTTCAGCAAGGACTTTATCAGGTGTTCCAGCTTCCAGGGAGGCTAAAGTATATAAAAATTGACATTATTTCAATGACTTCCCATATCAAAGCAAGTTGATTATTGTAAGCATTCAGTTACCTTCAGTTACTGGCACAATTTCATCTGAAATTCCACCATCAGTTTCATCTAAGAAAAAGAAATGAACTCAAGACTCATGATCAACAAGATATCATACAGCATGTTATCACAGTGCAGAATGTTAACATACTGTACCTGGAATTCAAAATAATAATTATAAGGATTGGAGATTATAGACAAATGGGAACAAAGGAATGAGCAAAACAAAGAACTTTTTTACTACAGTAGCTACTGTACAATCGTTGACAAAATACCTTGGACCGTAGCGCTCATTTTGAACAATATCTATATTAATTATCTTCATGTATCTCAGTACTTATCCCCCCATACCCCCCTGGATCAATGTTGCTAGTGACCTTGGATACTTGTGTTGTTTGGACAGTCGCAAAATGATCACATTGCAACTATTTCCACACAACATTGCCTTTAGGAGGTCAAGGGGGATGCATTTCTTATATGGTAATGCTAAAAATAGCTAAGTTTAAAATTATGGTCTAATGTTTTTGGCAACGATTGTAGATATATCTCACAAGTTGTATATTCTTTGTATTCTTTCAGACAACATACCTGTTTGTTCTTCTGTTGGACCCTCTGCAAGATTCTGGAAGACTACTGCCATTAGTGTTGCGATATCTCCTTCACTGGCACACAGCTGTCACAAGGAATCATGCAATTACTGTCATTATATGTGTGACTGTCAATCAAACAGGTCAAAGACTGAAGCTTATGAAGTGAAGAGGTTTTGTATGTAAGGTTTTTGTTAACCAAAACTATGTTTCATTTTGTAATCTATGTTTTAGTTTCATAGCTCCATAAAAACAATCAGAAAGAAAAGACTGTTAAGTACCTTGACAGAATTCAGCTTGCCATGAATATTAACATCAGGGATACCATGAAACCATGGCGATAGGTTTCTAGACAGATAAATCGCCATGGTGATAGGCTCTATGATGACTGAACCAGTTTGAAGTTCTTCATCTTTGGTTATTGATCCTCTGGTAGATAATCACAGTTAATCATTAATTAATATTAATTATTATAGCTATTATTAATAACATCATCACAGATGATGTCATCATCTCTTGGCTTTACTTAGAAAACGATCGAGTCTCTTGACTGCTGAGGATGCATAGAGATCATAAAATACAAACAATGCTGAACTCTTGTGTAGCATTTTTATTTTGTGTTTCTTTTGGCTGTACATAGCAGTTATAATAAGCAGGTTATAGGCTTGGTTTACTTAATAATAATCATAACTGATTCAAGCATGTGGGATGCAATTATTGTCATTATTATAATTGTACAATCATTATATATGATTCAAACCTTGAAAGTTTGACAGAGGTCAATTCTACAACCATGTCATCAACAATCACAGCATCACTGCCATCGGGCTTTGTTGGTTTTTGATGAAGTTTGAATGAGTTTGATACGTTGAGCAAACCAAGATCAGCCACAAGGACATCACGTGAAGATGAACTGACAGGAATGATGATCAGGGGTGCTTGAATGGAAACTGCCAGCTTTATTCTAGATGTCTGTTGCTGGAGATCTTGCATCTGGAAATTATAGCAACACCAGTGATATTTGTATTTATCATATATTTGAATTTGAATAAATAAATATTGACCATTTTATATTTTCTTAAAAATAATGAATGAATCATTAAATAAATGAATGGAAGAAATGAAAGGATGAATAGGAGGATGTATTGCTCACCTTAATGGCTGCCTTTTCTGTTGCTGTTATAGTAGCTTGTTGCATGGCTTCCTTTGCCTTTTGGAAGTTATTCAAGAAAGCCTGAACAATAAAACAAACAGTTATATGAACTGATGCACAACTAATGTTTTTGTATGTCAAGTAGATCAGACTTACCAAGAGTTCCATGGTAAATTTGTTCAAGAAGATCACTTTGATGCAGCCAATGTCCATCTTGAAGCTGGTGTCAACAATCTCCATGTTGGTGTAGTTGCCATCTTCCATAGCATCGTTGTAAACCACAACCTATAACCATGAAAGCCACATCATTTTTTCCAAACTGACCCACCAACAAAAATCCATTCATATCAGAGAACAAAGAGACTTTAGATTAACTGAGATAAGAAAATGATGTTATAATTTTCACATACCTCTACATTGAAGACTTCTTGGTTGACTATCGAGACAATGTTGGGATACAACACTCCTTGGGTTGTGTCCATGACGGAAAGGTCTTTCATTCTGTTATATGAATAAATGAATGACAAATGGATGAACGGTAGAACAAATTATGAACAGAACTATGAATGGATGCATAAATGAATGGTTAGATAAAGGATTAGGAATTGAATGAGTGGATGACCAAAGAGATGAACAAATGAAGAGAAGGATGAATGAGATGATGGATAAATGGATGTAGGGATAGACGGCTGGAAGGATCGACTGAATGATTAGATAAAGGGATTTATGAAAGAATTGATAAATGAATGAAAGACAATCGATAACAAACAAATGGATGAAAGAGAATCGATAACAAACAAATGAATGAAAGAGAATCGATAACAAACAAATGGATGAAAGAGTCACCATGCAATGCTATCAATTGCAAACTGGACCAAATCAATTTTACTTACGAAGCAGTAACATTTGTTTTGTCATCCAAGACTTTGACATGCGCAGAAAGACCGCCAACCAATATACTTGCAATGTCACCTCTTTTTGACGTCACAATAACAGATATCCCACCCATTTTAGCTTTGACGTCCACCAGGATGTTATCAGGATTACTTCTGGCTTTCTTCTTTCCCTTTTTGTGCAAATCTATTTCACTTTTACTTTTGTGTTTCTTGATTTCCCCTTTGATGTCACGACCCTTTTCTCTTAGTGACTGCTCATTTTCTTCCCTGAAAATTTGCAATAAAAATAATTATTGAATAACAATGAAAATAGTATTTACATAACACAAGCCTATTTTTACATTTTGTTGTGGCAAATGAACAATGAGAACAACAATCTTATTAATACTGACACAACTTCCCACTAAAATAAGGCTGTTTATTAGAAACACCAAGGCAGCTCCTACTAGTTTACTGCTAGTTTTCACCATTTAAAAAAAAGATTATGCATGCTTACATTGCAGGTATTAGCTTGCTTGAGAAGTCCATAAGTCTTAGCAGAGCCTCTTGATGCAATAATACACTAAGCGATGTGAAGTCTACCATGATTTGCTTCTCTGTTGACAAGAATGTTGTGTARTATTCTGGGGATTCTTGATCAGCCTGTAAAACAAGAAGAGAAGTTATTAATATCTGGAGGATTATGAAAGAATAGCCTCATAAAATGATGGTTTTTAATGTAATCAAGGTTAGTTGAAATTTGAAAATGTAAATAAAGTTAGTAAGGTGCAATCCATTAGAATTTTGAGGGGGTTTGGAAGATTTTGTCCATATAAGAATGTTTTGGGACTTAAGGCGCGCACTTGTAATTTTTTTTTTATATTTACAAAAGACCTTCCACCCCCCCACCCCCCCAATGGCTTGTCCCAAACAACCTTTTTTAGCTTTTGATAACTTGGACTGTTTTGAGGCTTGTGAAGGGATCAAAAAATGAACTACATTAACAGATGAACTAGAAATAATGGAAAGTCATTTTGCATGTAGAAATGTCTATTAACTAATCATTATATTAGACGGACCTTATTTGAATAATCATTATAGTTAAGTGCTGTACCTGAATAACATTAATAGACAACAAAGCYGTATCTTTAGGTGTCTGGATGAGGTAAACTGGTTCKCCATCCAAACCAGAACCCATTTCCTTCACAGCCAAAGAACCAATAGATGCACTGACTTGAATATCATATTGATGCTTGCTAAGTACAGTACCAAGATGTCCTAGACTGATAGCCATACAAGGTGTCTCATTGCCTTCATTGTCTTCAAAGCCAGCACTTACACATACCTATAAAATGATATGGGAAATGAATGGATGGATGGATGAAAAAATGGAACAATGAATTAAAATGGAGGAAGAAATGAAAAGGAATAAGCAAAATGTCAAAATAAATGAGGAGAGGGATGTTGAGGGAGAGGGACAAATGGGGTATTGAGGACAGAACAAGAGGGGAATAGGAAGGAAGAGATGGAAAACCTTCAGAAAAGAACAGGTTGTATACTAAGGAATGAACACGACACGATAAATTATGGACATAAATCTCTTTACCTCTTCAATTTCAAATGTCAAAGCGACCTGCACTTGTCTTGCTAATGTTTTTCTAGCCTCAAGTCTTGCAGMCTCAGTTACAGATTCCCTATAATATTATAATGATTCAAAAACAGTATTGATTTTAATATTGATTTATTTTCATTTTATTCAAAGTGTCTAGTGTTTTCACTCGGACATGTTAGGTAGAGCTAATAAGTCTCTGTAACATCTGTAAGTAGCAGATCATTTTGAGCAGATTAGTATTTAATTCATAAATTAACATGTTAATTAATATGATTTGCAATATTATAAGAATTCAAAGTACATGTATCTAGTATATTTTCACTGCTATATTAGATGGACTGTTGTTCATTTACTTTTTCTCTGCAATATCTGTAAGTGACACAGATTTTTTTCCTTAGTTCTGTCAAGACTTGGGTAGTTAAGTCTTCATTTAAAACATGTCAATTAATAAAAATGATTCAATCTTACTCTGGAGGTGTTTGAAATTCCTCATCTTCACCAGCTAAATCATCAGGTGAGGACTCTAGTAGACCAGTTGATATCGGTTTAATTTTTGCCATCCTTTTACCCTTGTCCAGTAGCTATGAAAAATCAACAAGACACTCATTACATATTGACTACACATTGAATCAATGGATGAGTGGATAAATGAACAAATGGGTGGATTAATGAATGGATGAGAAAATGAAAGAATGGACGAATGAAACAAATAGATGGATCATTAAAAGAGAGAAATAGTGAATGAATGGAAAAACAAATGGATGGATGTTTGAATGGATGAATGAATGAACAAACAAATTAATATAGACAAAGATGACTTTAATTATGATGGTGGATAGTAATTCATAATGACTATAAACTTAATGATGATCATTACAGCTTATCTACCTGTTCCTCAGGTGGKGCGTCAACTACATCTGTAGGTAGTTCAGAACCAGGAATTGGAATACTTAGAGCAAGCTAAAGCAAAACATAAAATGTTGGAATTTTTGCTTCCTTTTCAAAATAATCATATTAAAAGATTTTCTAGAGATTTCTAGAAAATTTGATCTAAATTATATAGACAAAGACAGGAAATAGCAATAAATTAATAATAATATRATAAYCAAAATACCTTCATAACTTGCTCCAGTTTTTTATCAGTGATGTGAACATTTATAGCATGCAGATTTCCAGCAATCTTGATTCTAAATAACATCAAAAAATAGCACTTTTCATTTCTATTTTATCATTATATTTTAATATAATGTTATCGATACTGAAACAAAGGCTGATTTTCTACATTAAAAAAAACCCTTGTCAAAAGTTCACTTACTGAGCAAGACGAATATCATCAGGGTTCAAAGCTTTCTGTAGCTTGAGATCCAGCTCCATTGGATCAATAACATGTAGTTTGGATACTTTAGTGTGGCATGCTGCATCCCAAGCATCATCTGAAAAAAAAAAAAACACAGTTATTATTTTACCAAGAAAAATGATTGGATCATCAGTTGAGAAAGAAGAAAGCAGAACAGGGATTATTAAATCTGCTTCCTGTACTCTTTGTTCTCACATTCAAGTGCAAGAGTCTTCCTGCTTCTTCTCTGCCCATAATTAATTACTATAGATGTGAGAATCAGCATTCAGTTTGGTATATTTTCAACAATAATCATTTTATGACCATGTCTACCTTTCTTGGCTATCAGGACTTGTAAAGCTTCTAGTCTGATATCAAATTTATCATAGCATTTTGATTCCAATTCTGATATACTAAGATCCTAAAAACAAGTAAAAAATCAATAAATAATAAAGTTGTTTACTATCTCAATAAATGTCTAAATATTTTACGGTCAGGCTAGTCCCAATACCATATCAACCTCCCCCCCACAGTCTCCTTCATAGTTCCCTGAGCCTCCTTCAAAGGTAGTTGTACCTTTGCTTCAAGTGAGATGGTGAACTAGCAATGAAAGATAACASTGTGAATACTTGTCTTTAGGTATCAATAAAGGTTTCTATCACTGCTTGCTCACTGGTCATCTTACTTTGAGCCAAAAAGCATGATCACTATTATTCAAGGTGGCACAGAGAACCATTAAGGACAGCTGTAATGTATATAAAGGTTTAGATGCAAGTGCATTCATGCATGCATGCTGAAAAGAAGTTCTTGAAGTTACCTCATCTGTTATTTCACAAAGAGAAGAGCAAGAAGAATCTGATGAAAGCTGGCTGAGCTTYACAGAGGGAAAGGAGAAAGAAATAATGTAGAAATCAAAGATTCATGAAACAAAGATTGTTAGAATAAGACMAAAGAATTAAGTGTGTATCATTGTGTGATAAATAACCCCCCTTTTCAAGATACATGTAATGTTGTATTTTTATTATATTTTCATAAAGGAGTGTCATGTTTTTTCCTAATTAGAGCATAACTGAACATATTCATTGAATCTTATAGAGACCCATAACATAGATAACTATTACAACAACACTGTAATTTGTTAGCAAGACTAACCTTAGTTGTCACTACTCTTTCTTGCTCAGGATCACTTGTAATCTTCAGATGACCAAGATCAACTACCAATAAGCTTGTTGCCCTGTAAGAGAACCRCCATTAAATTGAAAGTGGGATTCCTGTGCCCTACACTAATAACAATTTGAAATTGGGATTCCTGTGCCCTGCACTAATAACAATTTGAAATTGGGATTTCTATGCCCACCGTCATGGGTACTTTTAGAGTTTATCAAAGTCATAATTGTCCTAGCCTGATTTTCAGACGGGGCCTGGTTCCTATAATTGTCCTATTCTTTAACTTTTGATGGAACTATGACTCATTTTCATACAAGCACCAGCAATATCTTGAAAGTACCAGTGTGTTTTAGACCTCTATATTTTGCACTCCTTAATTTGAAAAACTCAACTGCTGTAAACTGCTGTAAACATAAACTTGTCAAATAGGAAATTAAATGTTTAATCAACTTACCCTTCAAAACGTCCTTTTTCTGGTATAATAATGTACGGTGACATGACATCAACATTAATGTCTGTAACCTTATAAGGAAAAACACTAATTTAGTAAGAGTATTAAAGAAAAACAATGGTGTTTTGTAAACTTACCTTATGGTGCTCTACGGCATATGCAAGACTGGCTTTTGAAGCTGTCTTYAGCTCTTCTAGTCTKGAAATGGCTACTGCTGATAGTCTGCAAAGATACAAATGGTTTTCTCAATATCAGTTAGACACAATAATTATCACTCATCTCCAATAGACTCATCTTTTAAAAACCCTTTCAAGGAAGAGTTTGACCAGAAGCAAACATTTTTTTTAGAATCTACAGCATGTACTTAATATATAGAAGGCGAAGCCCTCTTTGAAAAAGGGAAGTTGGCAAAACTAAATTAAAGAAATTTAACTAGTAAATTAAAGTACACTACTTACTCTTGCAGCTGGACACCCTTTGGTGGTTGGAAAAAATCAACAACTTTATCTATGGTGAACTGAACAACAAAAATACACATTAAAAGAAAGAAATTACTTGATGTAAGCAAACACCTGCTGACCCTCCCCTTCCATGGTAAGATTCCTCTAACTTCTCTTCCCTCCCCTACAAGGTATCAATGACCATAGATGATTTATGGCAGGGTTCCAGTGTGGGCCCCAATCACCTTCAGTTGCCAGGATACTTACAGCATCGTAGACAATCTTCAARGGCTGAGATTTTACTGTTAATCGTTGGTCACATTTTTCATCCAAGGGATTTGTCTCAAATGCAGCATTGAAAAGAGCCAAAGCATKTTCTAAGAAAGCAAATTTTACAAAATAATGAGGGAAATGACTGGATATCAATTAAAATATATGAAACTGAATGGATGGATTGGTGTATAAATGGATAACAGAATGAACAAATGGCAGAGCAAATATGGACTAATTTAATAATCCAGGATGAAATTAAATGGATAAAAAGATGGGAGGTAAGTAAGGGAGGAAGKGGGAAAGGGAGGAAGGGACATGAATGAAAAACAAAAATGAAGAGACACAGAAGAGACACATGACAAAACATGAACAAAATGATGAGAAAGGGATGAATGACAGAAATGGATGAGAAAATGAATGGAACCATGATGAATAAAATACTTAATGAATGGAAAAAGGAATTAATGATAAAGAAATTAACACATGAATGGGAGAAAATATCAAGGTGAAGCCATTACCTTCTTTCCCATGTTGTGATGTAATCATAAGTGGAAGATACTTTGAGTGTTCTGATGTTGCTCCAAACATTCTCATTTGGTCAATCTTTGTTGTCACCCTTTAAAATGCAATGTAATGAAAAGTTAATGCAAATTAWATTACTCTTTTCTAGTTCTGTGTGGTTAAGAATCTCAATGTGTGTGTGAGGTGGGAAATATAAAAAAAAAAATACCTTGTGTGTCAGGGGGGATGGGAGGGGAGAAATCTCACCTTGTGTGTGAGGGAGGATGGGAGGGGGAAAATCTCATCTTGTGCATGAGAGGGGATGGGAGGGGAGAAATCTCACCTTGTGCATGAGAGGGGATGGGATGGGAGAAATCTCACCTTGTGTGTGAGGGAGGATGGGAGGGGGAAAATCTCACCTTGTGCATGAGAGGGGATGGGATGGGAGAAATCTCACCTTGTGTGTGAGGGAGGATGGGAGGGGGAAAATCTCACCTTGTGCATGAGAGGGGATGGGAGGGGAGAAATCTCACCTTGTGTGTGAGAGGGGATGGGAGGGGAGAAATCTCACCTTGTGTGTGAGGGGGGATGGGAGGGGAGAAATCTCACCTTGTGCATGAGGGGGGAGGGTTAGTTGAATGTGTACAGCTCAGTAACAATGACAATACTCACTTAATGGCTTGTGCTGAGGGTCGTTGTGCAAGGTCAGCATACAGGTCTTGGATGCTTAGTCTGACTATGTCTTTAGTTTTTTTGCTATCAAAACATAAAATAATTTAATCATTTTTAATGATGTCATCTAAATCACTGATATACTCTCAATAAACTATCCCTCAATTCATTCATTGAATGTTTATTCATCCATTCAGTCATCAGTCTYCTTCAAAGCCTCTCTTTTTATAGGAAATTTGCCAAAACTACAAGCTGCGCCTGTGAGAGAGACTATCCGGTCATTAACACATCCCTTGTTGCTTCCATTCAATGATTATTCCACTTTTATTCAAAGCCATCTTTTTTATTCTACATGCCCCACATTGCATGATAAGTTATCTTACCTTGAAGGATCAACATCTCTGAGAACAACACCTATTTGTCTGAGGTGGATGATTACCTGGTTCTCAACATACTAAATAGAAAAGAAACTTATATTATAACTCATTGTTTATCATAAACAAGAAGGGTATTCAGTTAAAAACCCTTTTAAAAAGTAATAAGCAGTTTAGAGWGGCTTTTATCAGCTTTTATCCCTACATGGATCAATCAGACTGTGAGCAAGAATAAATAATCTAATGTACTAAGTATTTACATCTTTGGGAAAGGCTGTGATGACATCATTCTCGCTATAACCAATTGCTGCATACAGTTTCTGCAGCTCTTCTTGTTTTTGCTCTTCTGTAAGTATTTCTGGAAAACAAGCCAAACAAGTAATCATGGTTGCCATGTGCAATGTGCCTGATCAAGAAGACGGAATCACAGTCAAAGACATGCTCAATGTGTTAACGCAAATTGTTCACCCATTACAAATAACTACAGATTGATGTGCAAAGTTTGGAATTGAGGAATGTTATTAAACATACTTACCTTGTAAGAATTTTTTAGATTTCTTTCTAGAGATGAATTTGAGTGGTAAAGAAGATTTTGAAGAAGATTTGGAAGATGAGGAGCGAGCATTTTCAGAAGATTTTGAAGATGATGATGAGGGAGGATTTTCAGCTGTTTGAAAGGCAATTAGATGTTGTATATAGCAGTATGGTAATGATTCATTTAATTATATTTACTTTAATTACCACGTAATGTGTAAAACTTAAGTAGCTTCAAAGTCCTTGTAACATTTATTTGAACAGTCATTATAATTTTTTAATTAATGATCACCTGCCTGATTAATTATTGATTAAGTATTAATTATATTTTTACCGACTATGTATTTACTTGATACTGTAATATCTTATTTTCTTTACTTAGGTGTATTTGTATGATAATGATTAATGATTGATTAATAGTTAATTGACAAATCAATTACTAATATTATTACCTGACTGCTCCTCTGATTTGGACTTCTTCTTTTTACTTGATCCAAACCAGCCAGAAAAATAACCTTCTTTGCTTTTTTCTTCAGCTTTCCGCTTCTTTTTCCTGAGTGCAGCTGCTTCCTGCAGCACGCAATTATACTTGAGTCAAACATATTTCATAGCATAACAAGACCATGTGGTCACATCATGTGTGATTGATTGACATATATTTTTGTAACGTACCTCAAATTCAGCCCTTTGTCTGCAGATTGTAATGTTTAAGACATCAAGCTTTTCTTCTAGTGCCTGTTAATATGATGGATGGATGAAGGAATGAATGGAGGAATAAAAGAATTGTCAGTAGAGAAGTAGGGAAGAAGGGAGGAANAAATGTATTGATGAATCGACCAAGAATTAAATAACGAATTGAATAATGGTGTTTTGAGGGGGCTCGCTTTATGTCTTTTGATGGTAAGATGTGTTGTTCAATAGTTCCTTGTTTTGCATACCTGCTTTCTTCTTTTCATCTTCCAGTTTTCTAGCCAATTCAACAGCATCCAGTTGTCTTTTCTTTTTCTCTTGTTCAGCTTTTTCTTCCTTTTCAGCATTGTACTTGATCCCTGAAATATTGAACAGAGCAAAATGCTAAAAGCATGAATAACTGAATTATTAGAAAAAGGGATGGAAGGGAAAATGAAAAAAAAATGAATGGGAAATGAATGAACGGATGGGAAGTGAATGAATGGGAAATGCATAAGCAAAAGTAAAATGAACAAATGGTGGTTAAAATGCATGGATGAATGCTTAATATGTAAACAGCCTGGAGCAAGTGGAAAATTTAATGYTTWAAWAAGCATAGATTTACCTGTATTTGGTCTCACTAAGAGATAAAGTCCATCAATCTTTGCCACRACAGGCTCAGAGTACAAATTTTTCCATGGAATTTTTAACACCAATTTTCCTATTGATTTGAARATTTTATACAAATGATTATTTACATTTGTAATATGGTAACCAGTAATATCCATATTTTTATTGAGAGTGGGATAAAATAATCTGAAATCATACACAAGATGATCAAATCTCACCTAAATGGCCTCTGAGAACTTTRACTGGAAGATCAAAGTCATCCTATGAATTCATTTAAAAAAATAACATCATATCAACACTAAAATACCACAATATTATAAGTCAAATCTAATTAGAGAAGTGGAAATAAGAAGAGGGGAGGGAAAAGTCTTGTCCATCTTGTCCACTGTAAATTAGCATATCTATTTAATTTCTTTCTGGAATTGAAAAGATAACACTAGTACACTTCTGCAGTTTTTATATTAATGTAGAGCTAGTTAAGAACACAAGAAAATTTTACAATGATTTGAAATTTGCTACTGATGTACAAATAGCTAGATTTTTCCTTTATTTGCCCTCATYATCAACAGGAAAACTAGCAAAATTACTAGTGGCTTGTGGTTGGGAAAACACAGCTGCATATACTTAGTCAAACGYTGATAAACTACTCTTGAACAATTATTTCTAAAATACATTTTYGTTAGCCATCTGCATACTGCATGGCTGAATTTGTGACTTGTACGAAGTTCAATTTCATAAAGGCTCATTTCAAGGAGAATTTCAGTTACTTTATATATTTTGACTCTCTAAAAAACTTGAATTATTGATAATGAAGTAAAAAAAAATTACTATGTTTTATAAACAGCTGGGGCCAGTAAAGTTGTACGATAGGTAGATAAAACTACCCACTAGTTAAAGTAATCCACTCCTATAGATTATATCAACTGGATAATGATTTATCTGCTGGGGGATAAGCGCTATTTACCCTTCATACAACCAGCCCTTGTTTTATTTCAGGCTTTTTAATAGCAGTTTTAATATTTTGCCATTAATATTATTTGCCAAACTAAAACGAAACATTTTGACATTGCAAAAATATAGAGTGAGCCCACTTAATCCATGAAGCAAAATTATTCAGTACCGGGCCAGGTTGTGTTCAAAAATTGATTTGCATTAATCCTCGGTTAATCTTAAAAGACATGTGGAGTTAACCCAGTATTAACAGTAATATGGCTTTGGAACAACCCAGCCTTGATAAGAGCAAATTGTGTTGATTAGATAATAGAAAACAACTAGGAGTTAGCATATAAAGTATTTTTTACTAAGTTATAAGAGTAAATTCCTTGAATCATGTAAAGCAGCGAAACAAAATTTTGACGTGTCATAATAAAAAAAATATAGGTACAAAAGAAAACAATGCAATAGCCGACTTGCGAATTACGCATCAATAGTCACATACAAAGGAATCAAGACGAGGCGCCGTGCTAAAGACAATAGATTTTCACAAAAAAGCACGGCGCCTCGTCTTGATTCCTTTGTATGTGACTATTGATGCGTAATTCGCAAGTCGCCTATTGGACTGCATTAAGGTTTCCTGACTTCACTTTAAGTGCATTTGTCTCTATGTTTATATATCAATTACAATCATATGGATTAATTTACATGTAGGAACCCTAAAAATAAATAAACATGAAGAAAAACGACCTTCTACTATATGCTTTTGTCTGTAGTTTATAAAATATTAATAAAATATACATTAATTAGGTAAACAACAAAATTGTTTATGCGACACTTTTTAGAAAGACCCATTAGCTTGAAACACCAAACCTGAATATTAAACATGATTTTCTAGACCAAAACAGGTGTGTTGGGGAAAAAAAACATTTTCTATGAATTAAATTACATTTTCATATAGTTAATTTATCSAGAATAAAGGGGAGAAAAAGACAGGCGATACGCTCAATATAATTTAATGTTCCCGGGTACAATGTCATCCCTCGTGACTTTCGATACATTTATCTGCCATTTTGTATATATGAAGTGCTCTAGAAATCGATAGCTTTTTAAAAATTTGAATAAACTAAAGCTATGTGCGTGGTGTCTGCTTTACAAATTACAGTAAATTTACAACCCACAACGCAAAGATCAAACGATTAAAGTAATATCATAAAATTTATATATAATATTTCAAAACAAATTTACAAATCAAGTCACGCGGTAGYAGTGTGATGACGAMGTCGAAGTTCGTGCACTATCTAGAAATACTYACCAATGCACTCTCCTTTAAGATTAAATTCTCAAGCTTTGCATCKCCTAAGAATAAATTAAAGTATTTTCAATGACTTCWCGAAGAATTGCGATAGTTATGAGGTCTAAATTTCCACATTTTCAAAGATTTAAAAAAGAAAACATTACCTCCCCAGATTCCAAGCTTGAGCTGCGAGGGATCAAGGTTTTCCAAGAACTGTCCACCGAACTTGTTGACTAAATCAACTACATATGATTCAAAGACCATTTCGTATAAATATCAGTTGTTCAAGTCATTTCGTAAGGTGAATTTCGATAGATTTTCGTTGAAGCAGCTACAAATCCAGCCAAAGTCCTTCGCACGGAATACATGAACCCGTGGGGGAGAGGGGGTGAATGATCATGTTATTATTGACCCCACCCCTCTACCCTAGATATAGAGCTTCAAAGATTTGGAAATTTTACACATTTTTCCCCTTGATTTTCAAAGCAATGAAATAAGACAGCGATTTTTTAAATGATTTACTTTGATAAGAAAAATATGATATATATTTTGATTATGAAAATACTATCCTAAAAAGGACGCTTTGTTGTGATAAATTTTTCTCTTTGTTGTTGTTTTTTTTTAGTGCATTTTTCTTGATACAATTAAACTTTTACCAGTCATAGTCAATATAGATCACTGGAGTATAACCACCCGCCTCGTTTTCTGATTTTATCAAACTCTACTGGCCACAGAACTCCGGGAATAACATTTTTGTTTTGAAATATTCCAAAATTAGCTGGGCCATCTGTCAACCGCTTAATAAAAAACTGATCCATTTTAACAAAAAAACGGGAAAAAAATCGTTTTCTGATTTTATCAAACTCTACTGGCCACAGAACTCCGGGAATAACATTTTTGTTTTGAAATATTCCAAAATTAGCTGGGCCATCTGTCAACCGCTTAATAAAAAACTGATCCATTTTAACAAAAAAACGGGAAAAAAAAGAGAAATTATGATTGTTGCTTTAGGTAACATTGAGAGCTCGATAAAATCTTATATTAACATATTGCGAATATTTATTACAATGTGTCATAGAAAGATTGTGAATGAATATTCTTTTATTCAGCGACAAGATAAAATATTTTTTCTTTCATTTCTTATCAAAATAGCAATTAATATAATGTTTTTGACCTTTAAAAATCTAAACTGAGACGTCTGTAACGCAACCTAAGTATATTGCGTTACATTCGATAAATATAGCTTGTCTCTCTTCAAAAAGCAATCATTTCCTTGAAAAGGGATGTTTTGCTCGTCTGATGCTCAAAGCACTGACTAATAGCGTCTGTTTTGACATATTCGTTGTATTATTGGCAATACGAAGCCAATATTCTGCTACCTGCTACGAAAYTGCCGCAAAATATTTTGATTGGTCGTTCTAAGAACAAAAGAAWCGCATTCCATTCGAGTCACGTGGTTAGATCAGCATAATGTGTTGTATTGTTGATAAGTAATGGAGATCGAGTGTGAAGCGAGACAGCCTGTAACGAAAACTTACAAATAACTTGCAATCTTATCTGCTAAATGGCTTGGTCATAGTTGACCGTTAGTCCCAATTACAAGTGCAAGATTTCGTCGCAAAGAACAGTGATTCAAATCTGTGATCGGTGAGATAAACGCCGAGATTTTCCGTTTGTTATTTTGTTTTCATTTCTTCTTCCGAGAGCGGGAAGATTCCAACGTTACTACGAGTTTGTTTGGTACATTTTGGCGCCGTTTGGATCAAGTTGTGGTTTCCGAAAGAAGAAATCCTTGTCCTTCTATATCAAGACGTTTTAATCTAGTCTATTAAGTTCCCTGACTTCAAACATTAGACCTGTAAAACGAAGTCTCAAGATGACGTACTTTGTTTGAGTCACGACTGTTTTTGGGTACCCACATTTTAGCGTCCTTTGCGACGCTGTCGGCTAATCTTCACCTGTGGCTATCTCAGGGTAATCGTGTTGAATTAAACTTTAATCGCACATTTTTCAGCTAGAAATGGCTTCTAATTATTGGTTTCTAACGAGTTAAAAGCAGAAGTTTTCTCGGGTAATGATGGAGGATGACGAACAAGACGTGTACGTGGCTCAGCTTCACGAGGTCTTCGATAGTTGTGATCGTGTGGGGAAAGGGTTTCTAGACCGCGATGAACTCATTGAGTTGTGTAAAAAGCTTCAGTTGGATGACCAAATCCCTCAGCTTTTGCAACAGTTGTTAGGAAGCGAGGAAACGGATGGTCAGGTAAGAACTCTTGGAGCTTCTTGTCTGATTTAAAAAAAAAAAATTACTGTGATTTTCCATGCACCCAGCTTTTCACAGATGGTTGTCATTATTGTGTGCTCTATATGACTGCTGCAACAGTATCAGTTTTKTCACTGTAAGAGAGCTACCTGGGGAAAAGCTTTTAATATGACAAGTCTCTGTAATTGATCAATTCATAAGCTCTTCAAAAATTGCAATTTGGCAGTGTTGATGCAAATTGACAGAACCCCTTCCAAGTCAACCAATTAATTTACACTTCGAAAAAGGACCTTAATAACTTTGCAGTCTTSGTTCTGATTGCATGTTTACAGTATACTATTGTTTAACTGGTTGCCATACTTCCTGCAGATTGAAATCAACAACATTTTATGCAAAGTTGTSGATTTCAATTACTGCTTACACCAAGTCTCTAATTACCCTCCACWAAGCATTATCCTTGTGAAGCATTTTACCACAAACTGATGTCGCTAACCCTATAACAACTTGCATTGCACCTCAGCTCAGCTGAAAATGCAYGTGAATCAGTAAGTTTTTACACAGCACTGAGAAGAATACGCATTAGAGTTATTAGCGTTATGTTTAATGCTTTTGAACTTAAGCTCCACTCCAAAGAGGGTATTGTAATTTAAAAGGATAGTTCCTGCTGCTTTTATCTTTTATTGTTCGTCTCTATTATATTCTGGATAATTATAACAGTAGATCGCTCGGCCTTAACGCACAGGATAATTACTCAGGAGTCTTACAAAATGGTCTATCTCTGTTAGTGAACATATGCTATTTTGATGTCTGTTTTGGCTATGAATATCCATTTAGTTATACAACTTTCTATGATTATAATTATTAATAGTTGAAATGTGTTGTCAAATTTGAATCTATCCTGCTTCCAGTGTAATGGAGTTACTTGAATCCACAAGAGGCATCTCCAATGGCTTGTGTTCAATTTGTCTTTTAATTCATATGCCCCTTTGCGTTTAGGATACGAGTAGATATAATTTTTTAACAACTACAGTATAATGTAGGAATACTTCTCTGTATCAATATATCTATGATACTAAAAATATTTCCTGAAAAGTTGGATAATTGTCTGTTTGAAATCATTTTGCATGGAAGGGTAGTTTTGATAACAAGTCTTTATGCAAGAGTGGACAGAAAAATAGCAGTTAGAGATAGAAAACATCAAGTTTCTATAAAGAATATAGAATTAAGGGTAACAACACATCAATTTGTATTGACAAATCAGATGATATTCCTTTACCTACATGTAGAATGAAAAGTCAGTCTGTATTTCACATTGTTTTACAATGAAAATCTTGTTGCTTTTTTGCACTTTCTATGCAAGAGCAAGTACTAAGYGAACCAAGGAGATTAAGTATCTCTTTCAAATATTTTTTCTATGTTTCAATGTCAATTACCTCAACAGCCTATTATCTGTTTTTATTGCCCATGTTTCTTTTAATCGTGGTGTTGACTTTCACTAATGTAGTTATTAAATCTGTCTTAAAATGTGTAAAGTGTCAATCACATCTGTCAGAGTTTCATTTTGTGCCGTCTTTCAATTTCATGTATGTTTACATGGTTGCTATGGATTTAGGTCAGTGAAGCAGGTCATAGCATGTACCTTTGAGCTATCAACTGTAAAAGGTGGCTGTCATGGGTTCTTAGTTTAAAGACAGTGTCAAAACTAGATTAAAAAAACAAGAGAGGCTGATGATAGATATTAAATGATATGGTGTATAACTAATTTCTATATTAACACATTTTAGTTTCTCAAACTCTATCTTTTACATATTTTTCTGTTACTAAAGGTAATGAGAAATATTGTAGCTTCATATATATTTATCTAATAGGTAATTTTTCAGAATTATGACTTTTAAGATTACTAGCAAATATAATTGTATTTCAATCATGTACATTTTAATATGTTTCTTGATATTTGTCTTAGTTGTAACTTTAGCTAAAGTATCTATAAAATTTTACCTGAATTTTGAGTAATTATATTTTGAGTTTTACAGTCCTGGCTAAATGAAAGAATGCTGAATCTTTTTAAGAATCGCTAATAATGATTTTGGTAATTAAAACAATCCTTTTTCTTTCACTATTTAATTGTATGTTATTTTTATACAAATGAAAGAGGAACTGTTGTTATGTGAATTCACACCTATGGTAACAAAGCCACCATGTATTATTATAATTCCTGTCATTTTTGTTTGTAATTTTTTTTCAAAAAAGTGGATTTACAGATAATACACTGACCAGTTTTTCAGTGTCACCTAGGATCATKTGAACCATATGTCAGGTCATGAATCTTTGATAGCAACTATATGATTTCCYATTGTTATTAGGTAACAATACTCTTTTGTTCAACAGCTAGAGGAGAAGGTGATCTTTATCATAATTAGACAGCGATCACCTCTATCCAAATTATAATTTCACTAATTATTTCAAAGAGCAAAAACAGTCAGTCATTTTAAAAAAAATGAAGGATATTTTTTATGATGGAAAGAAAAGGAAATTCTTTGTGGATGGAGAAGAGTTGAATGTAAGTTAAATTTCCATCTGCACTTTATGATAAGCAGCATATTTTGTGTAATTTTGAATTGCGATAAATGTAMAACTTAATTTGTATAAAATATTTGTAATGAATGTTAAAGCTCACAATGATGTGCAGATACTTTTTGTGAGTATTTCTTTTTTAATTCAAATTTGTTATGAAGATCAAATGTCTTTGTAAATAATTCATCTTCTTTTGGCATGCTGCTCTTTGTATTGGAAACTGGCAGGCATTACGGGAATGAGCTCATTTGATTCTTTCATTCATTCAACCATCCATTCAATCAGACAGCTACTCAGTRGTTAATCATTAAAGCAAAAAAAATAGAATAAAAAAGCATTTGAATAGCGAAGGACATGAAGTGGGCTAAAATTGCTGCCAATTACTTTATACTGCTGGATTTTCCATGATAATTGTAAAAGAAATATAATAMTGCGCTGAAATGGTACAGATTATAAGCCTCGGCATTCATTTTGTTTTAATTGATTATTGCCATTCAAGTTYATTATTTCATTATTATTTCATTCATTATTGACATCCATCAAATTAAATCTTTTGCTAAGATCCTTAAAATTCTTTTATACAATGTA